CTTTATTTAAAATAAGCAAATACTTTTCGGAAATTATATTAAGGAGAAGTCCGTATATAAAACCATTTTTACCTCAGTCTCTTTATTGAGGTAAAGTTGTTTATATATTCTCACATCCGTTCCCATTAAACGGTGATATCTTGTGACAAGTTACTTTGAACATCGAGTCTGAAATCGCATGTTAGCACTTCAAAACAACATTAGCACTATTTAATAGACTGTGAACACTGTTGCGCTTTGATTCTAATATGCTAATATGATTCCAATATTTAAAATGTGCAAAGAATACTTTTCTGAAATTACATTATTGAGGAGAAAGTCGGAATACAAAACCAACTTTATCTCAGTCTCTCCAAACACTTTTCAGAGGCACCATCATCTCTGTAATCTGTAAAGCTCGCGGCCGTGCGATCAGGTGGCTGCATCTCTGCAGGAACCGACACCAGCAACTCGGCGACATGCTAAAAGCTGCACTTTAAATGCCCATTAGTGGTGTATTTTAGGAAGTTGAGCGCTCACCTCCTCATCGCTGGTGCAGAATCCCGCCTCGCGCTGCCGCCTGTGTTTCTCCGCGAGCCCTAACAGCCGCGACAGACACGGATCTTCTCTCAGCGTTGCTCCAACGTCGACGGGCCGCGGCCCTTTTCTGTCTTCAGCCCTCACCCGACCTACATGAGAGCGTTTCTCCGTCCTCTGCAGGCTCCGGGCCGTCCATGGCCGACCTGGGAAACGGCAGCGAACGGTGGCGGTGGTATTCACGGTCGCTACAACAGCCGAGGCTGCTAATCCGCCTCCTGCTGCCGCCATTATTACATACCACAACAACAACTACGGCGCTGAGCTCTCGAGAGGAACAAGATGGAAAGGCGCGAGATAGCGGAGGAAACGAACGGCATTATGGGAGATGGAGTTTTATTTTCTTTTTCAAGCGTCATTCTGTAAATATTTCTCAAGGGAAGACACTAATAGTTATCACCATACATCCCAAATTGATTGAGTACATTAATACTTGTAAAGATTTGCAGTAGTTTAAATTAATTTAAATTATTGTATGCTTATGCAAATGAACGCTCTAGTGATTTGCATATTTCTAACACGAAATAAAATGTGTGAACTTAGAGGAAGGCAGTTTCAAAATGTTGGTTTCTTTTTTTAAGAGTTTCTTATTTTTATCTCCATTATTCAGAAAATACACTGAAAAAGTAGAATAATCACAATTTTTGGATATACAATCTGATTTAAAAACGTATGCATATAGATATGAATAAAACTACGAATGTAAGTGCTGCTGAAGTGGAAATCTATGCAAGAGAAATGTTGTTTTTTTGTGAATATGGCTCTTATAAATAATTTTTGTTAAACCTGTTAATCTCAAAGTTGACAGGTGTGTGTAATTTCGTTTTTGTTTGCTTTTTGCCTTTAAACATAATGTAAATTTGAGTGGAGTATTAGGACTAAGAAGTGTATTTAAACTGTGTGCTAGCCTATACTCATCAGACACTGTAATGACCTGTCTCTATTGTTACCGATGCTGTAACAATAAACTGCTTTGCCTAAAGACTTCAGAGATCTCAGACTTTGTCATTTTTTTAAAAGTTTGACTTAGAGACTTAGAATATTTTGCAGACGAGAATCTTTTTACCACAACAGGGCTAATAATTCTGACTTCAACTATATATATATATATATATATATATATATATATATATATATATATATATATATATATATATATATATATATATTGTCAGTGAGGGGTGGGTTTATTAATCTATTTATCTTATATATATATAAAGATAAATAGATTAATAAAGGAAGACCTACCCCTCACTGACAAAGATCCAGAATTTTTCCCATATTACTTGAGCTCATTTGTTCTATCTTGATTGCTGAAAATAGTGAAAATAAAAATAATCCATTAAAAAAGGCTTTACGACCGAATCTTCTGTTGGCTGTTGTGACTTCAGCTAATTAGTTTTGTTAAGTGCAAACAAGTATTTTTCAAACATCCAGCTGAGCAAGAAAAAATACAATCTGACGTAAGTGCTCATCTTTTGCTACTTTATTGTTGTTAAATAGAGAAAACATTTTACTAAACTTTTATTCTAAATCTTGAACCTTATTCTCAAAAAAAAAAAAAATCACCAATAAAAGATGTAAAGCCAGAACAATCGTGAAGCGCTACATATTATTATTATGATTATGTTAGAATTTTTATGGCATTCAAATTGCCAGATTCTGAGAAAAGGCCAGTTTGTTATTTGCATAATAAATGACAATATATGCCACAAATTGTCTGTTTTAATAATGATGTTAATTTGTTAATAATGTTATCTGGTACATCAAAAAGTGTGGTTATGATGACCATTCAACAAGTTAATTCAGCTTAAAATATCATTAAAATGCAGTATTTAAATCTTATAATTAAATAGAAAATTAGGCGTATAACTGTAAAAAGGTCTTCTTTTAAGAAAAGAGAACCACCCCTTTCATCAGGCAATTTCTTTATTTGCGAATTTATTTATTCATTGTTTTATTAATGCAGCAAAATACAGATTTATTTAATCAATATTCATTTATTTGCATATTAATTTATTGCTTTTGCAGGTTTTGTCCGACATTAAGTGGGGATTTTTGTAACAATTCAAATCTGCAGACTATAAATGGATCGATGAGTAAATAAATGGAAATTAAATGTTGCATTTTTTTTTCATTTTCTTACTAGTTGACTGAAAAAAACATTTTATGAAAAAATCTCGCTTGCAGTATCAAAATCTCCCGTTAGAAGTCGCAACAGTCTTATTTTTCGCTTAGAGGACGTTTCTGGCATTTTCCTTTACAGTCTATGCTGGCAACCGATTCATTAAATGCAAATAGTATCTTAAATAAAATAAAAATACATTTTAAGTCAAAGTATTTAAGGTATGTATAAATAAATAAATACATATTGTGTCTGTTTGGGTTTATATTTCAGTTACCCGTAACCTTCGCGTCATTACTACAACCGCCTCGTTAGCGCAGTAGGTAGCGCGTCAGTCTCATAATCTGAAGGTCGTGAGTTCGATCCTCACACGGGGCAGGATAAGGTTTTAACTCTGAGTTTCACAGATTATTGTTGCAAATAAAAGTAATTGCAGGTGAGGTTTATGGATTTATCGATCTAATTGCTACATAATGTCTATGTGCACAGCTATTTGTCGGACTTACCAGAACTATCATAATATAGGTGTAGCATCCTATTTATACATAGAATAGTACATATGATTTATAACCATCAAAGGAACCTAAATGAACACAGCCAAGATCAGCGATTTGAGCATGCACATATTTGTCATTCCAGTGGTTTTCAAAAATAGTTATTAGGTATATATATATATATATATATATATATATATATATATATATATATATATATTAATTCCAACTTCTTTACCTTTTGAGTTCTAGAAGAGTGTAATCAAATATTTATATGCAAATATAATTGTGTTCTAACTATTGAGGACTGCATTAAACGTTAAGGCAACTTGCATGAATAATTAAAAAAAAAAAAGCTTAAAGATCTCACAATTTAATTTTTATTGTACTTTGCTGCTTTTATTTAAACACACTGCCAAAGTGCTTTTCTTAAGAGTTTTTGTCTTGTTTCTATTCCAAATTATTTAATACTTTTTAAATCTAGAAGCATTTAATAGGTAAAAAAAATATTGTCTTGTTTTCATAAATACACTACCTGACAAAAGTTTTTTTCTCAAAGTTTCTCTCAAAGTTCTCAAAGTTTTAGGAACAAAAAGTAATAACTTGACTTCTAGTTGATCATTTGGTATCAAAAGTGGCTTAAATAAAAGGCAATGGCATCTAGATTACGCTTATTTTACCAAAAGAAAATATGATCATGCCTTGATATTTATTTAAGACAGTAAGCTCTGACTTTGCTTAGACAAAAGTCATGTCACTTAACAGAAATATTGTCCAGTATAGAATATAAAGTCATGGTGCAGTGGAGAAAGAATGAATATTGTGTATGACTCCCATGAGCTTAGAGGTCTGCATTTATACATCTCAGCAATCACTCAAATAACTTATTAATAAACTCATCTGGAATGGCAAAGAAAGCGTTCTTGCAGGACTCCTAGAGTTCATGAAGGTTTTTTGAATTCATCTTCAATGCCTCCTTCATTTTACCCCAGATATGCTAAAGACTGTTCAGATCGGGTGACTGGGCTGGCCAATTCTGGAACAGCTTGAGCTTCTTTGCTTTCAGGATCTTTGATATGGAGGCTGAAGTATGTGAAGGAGCGCTATCCGGATGAAGAATTTGCCCTCTTCAATGGTTTTTAATGTAATGGGCTGCACAAATGTCTTGATACCTCAGGCTTTTGATGTTGTCATCCACTCAGCAGATCTCTGGCACGCCCCCATACTGAATGTAACCCCAAACCATGATTTTTTTCTTCACCAAACTTGACTGATTTCTCTAAGAATCTTGGGTCCATGCAGGTTTCAAAAGGTCTTCTGCAGTATTTGTGATGATTGGGATGCAGGAAAAAAATCGACCTTCGGACACTTTTCCAAATGATCAGTTAGAAGTCAGGTTACTATTTGTTGGTCTTACAAAAAGAATCAGCAACAAGACTTTTGTCAGGTCGTGTGATGTGTCCAAATGAGGTGAGGTTTTTTTACTTAAAACGATCAAAATAATCTGCCGGCTTGGTAACTTCATATCAAAAACAAGATTATTTTGCTTGTTTTAAGAAACAACCCACTTAATATTGACACATCACTTCTGAAAACAAGACTTTATTTTTGACTTATCCAGAAAATTCTTCTTGGTTTAAGAATTATTAAACATTTTGACTAAAAACAAGACAAAAACTAAAAAAGAAACATTTTTTGCAGTGTATACCAACTCACCTTCATCCAACTATTAGATCTGCAATTTAATGTTCAACACCAACCCAAAATACCACACATGTCCCCCCCAAACCCCCAATTAATGAACATTATTTTTAAACGTCAAGCTCTTTATTTCCACAAATAAGTGTTTATACAGCGTACGATTCTCTAACCAAGAAAAACAGCGTCAACATCAGTATGGGATTTAGCATAATTACATTAACCATAACCATTTACTCGCTGTTTATGAATACATCTGCTCAGTTTTTACTCTTTAATGCATCGCAAGTATATTATTGAGTCTTATCACCATGACAGGACAGACTCTGTTAAAATATTTGACTGTTTTCATTGACTGCTCCTTAATGGATGTAAGAGAAAGAAAAGGTGAATGGGAGCAGTTTACACAGCAGTGAGTAATAGACGAGATTGGTTTGCTTAAATAAATGTACTGTAAAGTGTCAGGGTGAGTGGGCAGTGTGGAGTCTTCAAGCGCGTGCCTGCTGTTTCTGTTGGAAGTCTGCGATTCTGCTCTCCATCAAAGGACGGAAGTGACGAATCAAGCCCTGCCAACCAACAAAAGGCAAGATTGATTAAAAGGCAGCATTCAAGGGTGTCTGAATTATTCAAAGATAATACAATTTACATGGCATCTAATAAATGAAAACACAGGCCACTATATTAGTGATACAGTGGGGAAAATAAGTTTTGAACATGTCATGCTTTTTCCTAGGAATAATATTTCCAAAGAAGCTGTTAAATAAGAATAATAACCATGAAATGACACAAGGAGAAAGTACTGAACTTCTGAAACATATTTAATACTTTATACAAAAGGCCTTTCTGGTGATGACACCTTAAAGACGCCTCTCACATGGAGAATGAAGTCACATGAATTCTACTCGTTTTTCACGGACTTCAACGGTGTGTAAAAATCTTGATGGTTCTTTGGGTCTCGTCTATCAAATCTGAACTTTGTATTTTATTTTATTGGATTCATGTCAGGTGATTGGCTGGGCCATTCCACGGCTTTATTTTCTTTCTCTAAAAGCATTTGAGAGTTTCCTTGGCCGTGTTTGGGATGATTGTCTTGCTGAAATGTCCACCCTGGTTTTATCTTCATCATCCTGATAATGTAGATGCTGGAATGAAGCAGCTGATATTCATTTACAATGATGAAGGACAGAGATTTGCTGAAGAACTACTGAGAGATTTCAGCTCCTGTCTGGGCTTTCATTGCCTTTCTACACCTCCCTTTCTTCATGTGTTCAATACTTTTTCCCAGTGTCATTTCATTTTATTACACATATTTTGTAATCTAATTTGATTTGTTGTCTTTGCATATATGGATGTTTCTTTGGTTGTTAACAACATCTGGGAAAAATTTCAAGTCAATGTCACCTTTTTCTGAGAAAAAACATGATATCTTTAATACTTATTTTCCCAGCTGTACATTCAAATAATGTTAAAATTATGATATTAAAATTAAATATCATTCTGCATGAGTTTAATAGCCAATACGAAAAAAGGCATGATTTAATAAAAAACATATGGGGGGAAAAAAAAGTTTTGTTTTAACAATCGAAAAACTAAACAGAGTAAAACTATTGGTCAAAAACATTTGAATAAAAATCAACTGAAAAAAACTATAAAATAAAAACAAAACTAAACTAAACTAACAAGTAACTGAAATTAAATAATAATTAGCAAAAACAACACTTAAAAATAACTTTTACTGCTTGTTCAAACTACTTAAAATGAGTTGAAATAACACAATTGAAGTTTTTTGGGGACAATTTAATTGTTTCATGTCCAATCCAATTAAATTTGTAAACTTAAAGTTAACTTAATCCATTTGTGTTGGGACAACAAGAGGCAATATGTGGACCACAGCAATTTTAAAAATAATTTATTTATAGTATTCAGAATTAATAAACACTCACTCTGTGGTGTAAAATCTTTATAAAAACACATGAAGGGGCTTTTACAACACATTTTCTTCATTTGCCAAAAAAAAAATCTAGACATTTTAAAGATATTAAATTAATAAAAGTCAAAATTTTTAAGAAGACCATCTTCTTCATGTTAAGTTTTTTTATAACTGTGACAAAAAACAAAAATGTTCTGACTTTCAACGTCTTCAATAAACTTTTCAGCATTCCATGATACTCCAGAAATTCCATGATCTTTAGACATAAAAATAGACATTTGTTTCACCTGAACAGGCCATGCGGCTCCGTCTCCTAAAGCGCAGATGGTGTGTCCCTCAATCTGCTTGCTGATCTCCCAGATCATGTCGATCTCTGCTGACCGCGCATCACCTTTCACAAAGCGCCACATCATCTTGTTCATCCAGTCCACTCCTGAGAGCCACACCACACAAACACTGACATGTAGCAGATCGTGCATATAAACAAATGTATTCATATATGGTTGAAGTCAAAATGATTCGCCCTCCTGTGTTTTTTTGTTTTTTTTCTTAAAATATTTCCCAAATGATGTTCAACAGAGCAAGGAAATTTTCACAATATGTCTTATAATATTTTTTCTTCTGGAAAAAGACCTATTTGTTTTATTTCAGCTAAAAATAAAGCAGTTTTAATTTTTTTTATTCATTTTAAGGTCTATATTATTAGCCCTCTTAAGCAATATATATATTTTGATAGTCTACAGAACAAACCATCATTATACAATAACTTGCCGAATTACCCTAATTAACCTAGTTAAGCTTTTACATTTCACTTTAAGCTGAATACTAGTATCTTGAAAAATATTTAGTAAAATATTATTTACTGTCATCATGGCAAAGATAAAAGAAATCAGTTATTAGAAATGAGTTATTAAAACTATTATGATTAGAAATGTGCTGAAAAATCTTTCAGTTTAACAGAAATTGGAGAAAAAAATATGGGGGGGGGGGGTGTAATAATTCAGGAGGGCTAATAATTCTGTCTTCAAATGTAAATGTTGATTTATTTTCACCCTCTCTGCAAGGAGTGCACTGCCCGCAGCTCTCATGCTTGTAGAACTCAATCAAACGGGCGATAGCTCGGATAACGTCAGTCTGTGAAGTAGAAAAAAAAACATGAAATGATCACATATTCAATTTATCAGATGTATTATTGATAAAAACAGCAAAATATTATATTCTTAATCTAGCAGAGATTAAAACTTAGCCTGACGTCCATTTAGCAAGCACTTTGTTAGTACGTTATTCTGCATCAGTAGCTACGTTTGCGAAAAACTCCGAAACTGGAATAGCAATGGTGCATACATTTTTCACACATTTTTTTCTTATCAGATTGAAAGTCTATCCTACTCAGTTGTGCACATTTTATGCACATTTTAAAAGCATTTTATGCTCATTTTCATAATTTATGCACATCTTGGCATTTCCACTAACCATTTTTATGTGAAATCTCCATAATAAGTATAAAAATAAGTGGATGGAAACAGCTAAATCATTTAGTTTAACTAAATCTACTTCAGTTTTTATCAAGGAAGTTGAAAAAAAATTCAAATTCAATTTTATAACATTGGAAAACATGTATGACAGAAAATGACATCATAAAGGTAAAAATGATCATATAGGCTGGTGTTACTAACGCCACTGATTTGTTTTTTTTCTATGATACATTTTTTGAAAATTACAAATTTTTACCATACATTGAAAAATGATTTCAATAATGTTGTATACTAATGTTAAGTATAACCGGCGGAGATGCATTAACAGTTTCACACGTGGGATATCTTTAGATATATGTGCGTTCACCGAATTTTTATACTAAATGCTGTGATTTAAGCAGTGTTGCGTAAACTACTTTTAAAAAAGTAATCGAATACAAATTACAGATGACTACTGGAAAATTGTAATCTGATTACATTACTAATTAGTTAATGTAAAAAGTAATCAGATTATTAAATTTTCTTTGAAGTTTCTTTTAAAACACAAAAATACACCTACAAAAAACTAAATAAACTGCAGCTCTTTCAGTGATTTAATTTTCACCGAGAAACATTACAATGAGTTGATCAAAGCAGCTTGACATATTCAAAAGACTTAAAGAGTTCGCCCAAAACTTAAAATTCTCTCATCATTCACTTGTTCCAAACCTGTTTGTCTTTTGGTTTTTGAACACAAAAGAAGACATTTAGAAGAAAACTATATACATGTAACCATTGACATCCATAGTATGCAAAAGCACCTCAATGTTTGAGTGTTCCGTGTTTGTTTGAGGTAACTAGGTACCCAAAATGTGTATATTCCACTGAAGCTGATTGGTCAGTTATTGTCACGCGATTCGCGGTTTTCAACTGGGTGTGCCTGGGAAATGCGAGCGCGCACAATATGCGTGTGGACACAAAAGACGTGATATGTGAACAACCCCATAAGCCGCTACGCTTCTTCTCACATTTAGAAGATTCCTTCTCTTTCGATCCAGCACAAAAACCCAATTTAGCCTGTATAGGCTGAGTTGGGGCAGCGTGTTTTTGGGTGCCGGTGTCCTTCTTGGCGATGAGTATTGTCGTAGAATGCTTTCTGTTCAAGTGTTTGAACAAGTTGCTGGTCGAAAGTTAAAAGCTCTTTAGACTGCATTTCAGAACAATATTTTTGTTGTTACGCTCAATGAAATCAAAGTAATGTCTGTATTTACACTTGATAAGCAGGTACAGTATTTCAGTTCTCCAGTATTTTAAAAGCGCATACATATTAACTGCCATTGCAGCAAAAAATGTGTTTTAAAAAAAGCCTTTTTTCTTCTAAAAACTATATATTTAACGTAAGTAACACAATTACATTGACTTTAGTAACTGTAATCAAATTACACAATTTAAAATGCAATTTGTTACATTATTGCTTACATTACTGATTACATTATTTCTCAAAAATGTAATTAGAATACTGGAAAACGTTACTGTGAAATGTGTTACACCCAACTCTGGATTTTAATCTATCATCTGCAGCTCAGTTTGTTTGTTTAAAGCACCACATATAGGCACATATTTAGAAAAAAATAACACCCTAAATACAACCAATAAACATTAAATATACTGACCAATAAAATATTCTGTCTGTGCATCTCAATACAAATTCTAAAGAAAAGTAAAACTGAAAAGTTTGTCTTAAACAAAAGCGCAAGTGTGTTATTTTACAAATGAACTCACTGATTTATCCATGACAATAAGTGCTGCAGTGCCGAGACCAGTCTGAGCCTGAATGAGGGCATCGAAATCCATGAGAACGGTGTCACACACGTGTTGTGGGATGAGTGGTGTGGACGATCCTCCAGGAATGACACACAGGAGATTATCCCAACCACCCCGGACACCACCTACAGGAAAACCATCAGTTATGGCTCCATAATCACCTCAGGAATAACCATTTCCATGTCAAATTCATATTTGATTTGTCACATACACAGTATGATATGCAGTGAAATGCTTACACAACCACTCGAGACCTTAAACATAATAACAAAAATAATAATAACAATCTAAATTATGTAGAAATAAAAGTTATGCAGTTTAAAATAAAAGCTAACTTTAGAAAACTTTAGAAGTGTTTTTTTAACAAAGTGCATAAGAGAGGAAGGGGTGTATCCTATAGGTGGTATACCACTAGCGGCTGGCCTGAGGTGTACCTGCATGTCTTTCGATAAGCTCTTTAAGGGGAATGGACATCTCTTCTTCCACTGTACAGGGGTTGTTAACGTGGCCTGAAATGTTGAAGAGCTTGGTGCCGGAGTTTCTTTCTCGGCCGAAACCTGCAAACCATGTGCCACCGCGACGGCAGATGGTTGGTGCCACCGCTACGGTCTCAACATTAGCAACAGTCGTGGGACAGCCAAACACGCCTGCAACAAGAACATGTCATATTAATAACTAATCTAATAAATAAAATACACTTTTATCTAATAACGTTTATCTTTGCTGTGTTGTATTTATATAGGTTTGTAATTTATTAGAATTTATGCAATCACACTGCACAGAAAAAGTCTTGATCATCCCAACCTATCTAATTGAATAAAATGTTTCTAAATAGAGCTATTCAACTAATCTGGTGGAATTATATTTGTATCGCAATATATAAAATCGCAGAAAAACAAAATATTGCAATGTCGGATATTTCCACTATAGTGCAGTACTATATTACAGTTTAATTATCTCATTTATTTCGGGGCAATTATAAAAGAAAATGCACAAAATAACAATACAGCAAAATGACAACAAATTTATAAGTGACTTGTACAAAATAAACAACCAAATAACACTAAAAACATCAAACATAAAAATGAAACAATCAACATATAAAATGATCACATATCTAATAAAAAAAGATCACCTGAAAAATAAACTAAATGTAATTTATAAAGTCATTAATATACATTTCCATTTAAAAAAATATTGATCAAACCCATTAAATACGCACACACACACACACACACACACACACACACACACACACACGCGCACACGCACACACACACACACGTGTTCCCAATAATAATAATAATAATAATAAAATGATGCAATCTTGCTTTTGGTTTAGAATCGATACTGGCTTTGCTCTATCTCCCACCAGAAGGGAGATGAATAATTAATAGTAATGATAATAATAACAACAATAATAATTAAGAAAAATAAAAACACCTGGTTTTAATCAGAAAATAAGACGAGACTTCACTAATTTAGCTTTGTTTTGTAATTTATTGCCTTTTGGACTTAACGACTACTTTTCCCTTTTTTACTTAATTTGCATACTATTAATTTTGGAGAATTGGTTTCAACCAGTATCAAAAATGGTATCAAATATTAATATTTTTCAAAGTATCGTATTGAAGTTGGAAATTCCAGCATAGCAAAAACACTACATTAAAAGGACATATACAAACATGATGACATAAAACTTAAAACTATTTATAACAGATCAATTATGCTGAAAAAAACTACTATAGATAAAGACCTTAATATGAATAAAAAAAATAAAAAAAAAACAATAAATACTCCACAGTTATTTTTCCCACTTTATACTCAATTTGCTTCTTTTAATGTTGCGGAATTTGTTCCCCATAGTTTAAAATAAAGAAAAAAATAAAATAAAATTCCTTTAAACACTCCACAGTTATTTTTTCCCCTTTTTACTTCATTTGCTTCCTTTATTGTTGCAGCATTTGTTGCCCACGGTATCAAAAACGATATCGAATATATATAGTTTTCAAGGTATCGCACAGAAGTTGGAAATTTTAGTATCATGACAACAATACATCACAAGGACCTATACAAATATGAAGACATTAAACTTTAAACTATTTATAGCAGGTCAATTATGAGAAAAAAATATATAACATACATAAATAAATGATCAAAATCCAATAAATACTTCACACACAAGTAAAAGATCTCCTAAATAAACAAACCCAAAATTAAAAAAATAAAATAAAAACAGCAGGTTAAAGTTATTTATTTAAAATGAAATAAAACTGCATCTTAACTATGTTAATTTATAATAACTTTGATTTGGTTGTACCGTCAACTTAATTTTATTGTTATGCAATAATGTGCACCTTCTGTAAAGCTGCTTTGAAACGATAATTAATGTAAAAAGTGCTAAACAAATAAACTTGAATTGAATATAGCGGTTATTGACTGACCCACATCAGCAGGGAAAGGGGGTTTGAGACGAGGTTTTCCCTGTTTCCCCTCGATGGACTCGATCAGAGCCGTCTCCTCGCCACAAATGTAAGCTCCTGCTCCACGCATCACGAACACATCAAAATCATAACCAGAGCCGCATGCGTTTTTACCGATCAGACCGGCAGCATAAGCCTCATTAATGGCCACCTGAGAGGAACACACAAAACCACATGAGCTCAATACAAATCAACTACAGTGTAGAACAATGGTCTCAAACTCGATTCCTGGAGGGCCACAGCTCTGCACAGTTTAGCTCCAACCACTTCCAACTCTCACATGCCTAATAGTCTCTTGTAGTCTTGAACACCTTGATTAGTTAAATCAGCTGTGTGTGATTAGCGTTAGAGCAAAACTGAGCAGAGCTGCGGCTGTCCAGGGATCCAGTTTAAGACTTATGGTGTAGCACATTCAGCCACATTTATATAAGAATTACACTGGAGAATTGACTCAAAATTAACTGCAATAATGGTTTACAACAATAAGTAAAATATCCCATTTTTATTTTCTCAGGCAACACATAGTGAATACATTTTCATTTTTGAGTGAACTATCTCTTTGATAAGCATTGCTTAAAATAATTGGACGTGGCAGCATTTCAAGTCTTCAAAAGAACAAAAAATACTGGGCAGCATAAATGAGTAGAGCCTGATAGCATCAAATTTAACACTATTTATAACTGTTTAATTCCCAGAGATGGGTTGCAGCTGGAAGGGCATCCGCTGCGTAAAAACTTGCTGGATAAGTTGGCGGTTCATTTCGCTGTGGCAACCCTGGATTAATAAAGGGACTAAGCCGACAAGAAAATGAATGAATGAATGAATATAACTGTTTAAATACCATTATGAATGAAATTTCTGATTTATACAGAGCCAAATACTAAGGATTTTCTGATTACATGGTTGGCCCAATGATTTTGACTTGCCTCATCAAAACAGCTTTAATTTGGTTATTTAAGACATATTTTTAATGTGAAATCTAGTTTAAATATTTACAATTTAAAAAATATAATAGACTACATTTATGTACAACGGTCTGTCTAAAACAGTGGTTCTCAAACTGTGGTACGTGTACCACTATTGGTACGCAGGGTTCCTTTTAGTGGTACGCGGAGGAATGAAATATGTCATGTACATGCTACACACGTTTCAAAATTTACCAAAAATGATGCATATAATATGCCATAAATGACATATAGCCTATATTTCTGAGGTAATCTGCCATGTTTTTTTTAACTGTGCAGAGCTGTAGCTGCTTTACTGGGCCTACTACGCTACTGTATTTCAATGCTGCTCATTTTGGTGGTACTTGGAGAGACAATGTTTTTCTGAGGTGATACTTGATGAAAAAAGTTTGAGAACCACTGGTCTAAAATACATGGGGAACTTTTAAACAAATGTTATTATAGGGAAGATAATCACACCATATTTGTAAATAGAGTTAACTATTTCACTTTTGTTAAAAGTTTTATCGAGGTAACTTTACATAGACAGAGGAAGTTAAGACCTATTTAAAATGATTTAAGCCCTACAACACAACATTTCAGTAAATTCAACATTTTTTAAGGCCTTTTTCGATATTAATTAAGAGTTTTTAAGACCTCATGGACACACTGAATACATTTCTCGGAGACAGATTTGTCTTTCTTTTAAATGAATACTTCCTTTTGGAATCTATTGGTTCAACATTAGATTAGTCAATATCAAAATGTAAGCCATTTCAAAATAATTAATGGTGGTGATGCAATAATGAGCAGAAAACAGAAACAAGAAGGACACAAATATCGGAGGTTTGGCTGAATTTATTGTAGGGTCTTGCTGTTTTTGTAACACCAGCATTTAATTCATTAAGAATCCACAATATTTGGACAACTTTAACAATATCGGCCTATAAATGCCATTTTTAATGTTATCGTCACTCCAATAACAAATTAGGCCGATATCTTTAAGTAATAAATAATTTAAAGTATTTTTCTACTGGTTGAACCACTTCAAGCGCTTTCTGCCCACCACTGCTTTAGTGTTTTACTGATTATTTTATTTTGGTTAATGTGTTATTCCTTTATTAATGTTTTTTTAAGTCGGCCATAGATATGAATAGATGATTAATAAATTTCAAACATCAGTTCAAACATTACTGAGCTTCTAAAATAAAATCAGTTGTTTACCTCATGTGTTTGCAATGATGCAGAAAAATCGAAAAATATAATATACTTATCGGCCGATATATCGGCTCTCAGCCTTCGATGTCGGCTATCTGTCACAATTTAAAAGCATTATTTTTCTTATTTCGAATATCTGAAGTAAATATTTTAATGAATGTACATGTTTAATAAAACTGTCATAAAGGATGCAGCAATACTCATGGTACTGAAGATGAAAATAAATGAATAAATAAATGAAGATCTTATTTTCTTCTGGGCTCGTTTTCAGCCTCCTGACCTGCAGGTTGGAGGACTCATTGTAAAACTCTCCGCGGATGTAGATGTAGGCAGCTCGAGCGCCCATGGCCCTGCCGGCGACCAGACAGCCCTCGATTAGCTTGTGCGGATCATTACGCATGATCTCTCTGTCCTTACAGGTCCCAGGCTCTCCTTCGTCAGCATTCACCACCAGATATTTAGGCCTGAGAGGAAACAGAGGATTAGCGGTGGCTAAGCTTTCACATCTGCCCATTGACCTTATTCTTCAGTGCGGAAGTGTGCTTGATTTTGCGATTGTTTAATTCAGTTGCCTATGGGAGAAATGACTAGGAATGATAAACGGCAGAAAACAGTCAAACTACTCGCTCTACAAACAAGAGTGTTCATGACTTCTACATAAAAAGAAGAGTAATAAAATAAGAAAATACCAGTTTGCAACATCAAGCAGCATAATGAGCTGTATTTAATGTGTAAAAAGCAATGTAAGTGAATTAGACCAGAAATCTCATGCCAAAAAGAGTAAGGTTACTAAAGGGCCATGCCATATGTATGTCACAATACTGGAATTCCTAGCCAATTAATTCTAAATGGGGTATATGCCGAAGCATGCTAATAGGACTTTTAATTTGCCAGTAACCTGGGTTAACCGCTTCCGGCGAATTGAATGCGGATGCAAAATCCGGTGCGTTTAAGGTCTGTTTTCTTTAAAAATCAGCAATCTCCACTAGCTGAGTGATATCCGACTTAAAGTGGGTCTCAGATTGTACAAAAAGCACTGCATTAAATTACATTTCCCCCGCCATATCTTTGTAATATGAGCATTTATTTTACCCCAGTATATTCAATGGAGCTTCTTCGTTAGCCTGCCGATTCTGACGGGCGCGTGCGAGTAAACGGCTTTTTGTCTCGTTTTACGCTTGAGCAACCAAATAAATGCTACAGTTTATTTAACTGAATGTATTTGAATGACATTACAACATCGATGCTGTAAAAGGAACTGTATAAAATGAAAAAAAGTTCACAATAACAGGTCACCGGAAGTGTATCAGCATGGGAACAGCACTAGCTCGGCATATACCCTATACCATGTTTGATAATTGAAATCCAGAGCATTCTTGAAATTAATTAATGCCACAGCACAGAATTCAGTTAACAGTCAGTGCAATAACCCACGATTACTGACTTCTCAATTGAGTCTTGAATTTGATCTTTAATCTGATACACAATATGGACACTTTTGACAGCCCTGGTATGAACCTGAACTGTTAATTGTTGAGTTGTGGAGCTGGAAACGCACCTGCCATCACTGGGCTTGTTCATGAAGCTCCACTTCATCCCTGTTGGGAATCCAGCACCACCTCGGCCCCGCAGCCCGGAGGTCTTAATCTCATTCAGGATCCAGTCCACTCCTTTATCCAGAATCTCCTTGGTCTTGTACCAGTCGCCTCTCCTCAGGGCACCCTTCAGCCTGAAATACAGCGGTCAAAAAAAACTAAATTTGATTCCAATTCAAATTATTGAAATCTTCTGGCTGACAAATTCATGAAACCTGTGGTTTGAAGGATATATTTAATAATTAAAACAATAATATATATATTTACACATGCAGGGCTTGACATTACCACCCGCCAACCCACTAAATGCGGTTATATTTCAGCTGTAACTGCACAGACACTCCCACTAGCCACTTTGGCTGGTTGAAAATAAAAGTTGAAATTGCCAGAGCTGTAAAACATCTATTCATTCCTCTGGTGGCAAAAGAGATTTCTGTTTTCTAAACTGATATTAATAAACAGTTATTAATAATTGAGCAGAAAATCAGCAGATTACAACAATTTATGAAGGACCAGGTGAAACTGAAAACTGGATGAATAGATGTCACTTGAATAAATTAAGCAAAAAAACAACCACATAAGTCACTCATTTATATAAATAAATCTTGTAGACACCATCTAGAAAAAGAGAAGAGTCTATAATTTATCTAATGTTTAAAAGAATTAGAAAAAACCCAAATATAGAACTTTAAAAAGCCCTCAGTTCTACATACAATTCATAATACAGTATAACATATTCTACCTCCAGTCATGGCGTCCATACAGGTTAGTGAATATTCTGTCCTGGTCAGCAAGAGGCCCAAACTTGGTCTTCTTGGGTGTTTCCTACATGACACACACACAAACACACACACTGATTATAGCTGTGCACTGATGATCAGTAATCCAGCGAGTGGATGAGAGTGCTTCACCTGTTGAGCTGTGCTGCTGTAGCGGAGCAGAGTCCTGCATTGTGGAGCAGAGTTGGAGGACACAGAGGTGCGAGAGGCTCCAGCTACAGCCACTGCCACAGGAGCACGAGACGCCCCGCTGCTCAGAACCCGGCTAAGAGCTGGAGAGCCGAGACACGACAACATCCTTATCTGGAAGACATGGATGAAACAGAACAGTGAGCAATATACTGTCAGTTTGGCGTTATAATCAAGAAGCTTTGCTGCTGTACCATGGCTGCAGCAGGCACAACAATATTACACAACACCTGAATATAATGCCCAGCAAGGTAACTACTAGGCAACAGTGCTGCGTAACATCATTGCACCTGCTGCAGCCATGGTACAGCAGGAAATATCCTCAATATTACGCCAGAAAAAAAGTAGAGTCAGAGACACATGAGCCTAGAAAAAAACGAAACTTTTCATTTTCTGTCTGACTTTGTTACATTTTCTGTTACACGTCACTACAGTAGAGTCAAGCTTTAAATAGCATAGATTTGTTTTGTTTTGTTTTTTGTTTGTTTTGTTTTTTTTTGAGCAAGATGCTAATGGTCTAATATGATTCAGTGTTTTATGCTAAGATAAGCTAAGCTAAGCTGAAAGTGCCCTTGTTAGACCCGAAGATCAGCTAACTGCATTTAAAAATGGTAAAACTCAACAGTTTAATTCTAGGAGACTTATAAAACAAACATTTTCCAAAAAGGCAGAGTTTTTTTTTTTGGAGAGCAGCTCCTGCCCTTATTGCTTACAATTTTATTATTAACAAAAAAATATTTTAAAATGTTTTCGTTAATGTAAAAAATCTAATGAAGCTGAAACAAAAACTAAGAAAAATCTTCAATGGAAACAGTAAATGTAGATTTGTAATCTAACTGTAATAAAATGCAAAAAAAAAATAAAGATATAAAATAAGAATAAAGGTAATAGTTATGAAACAAATTAGGAAAATTAGAAATGCTTATTTAGCATCTTTTTGGCATCTATATATATGTGTGTGTGTGTATATTTATATATAATTATATATAAATAATTGTTAACAGCGTATTTTTATTTAGCATAAAAGGTCAAAAATTAGTAAATGATAAACAAACCAAATTATTAATGATTATAAGCTACTTACAGTTACAGTTATTAAAAGTTAATTATTAACCAGATAAGCAAATTAAAAACATAAACCAAATTTATTTAGCAGAAATGACAACTGGTCAAAATAAGTAAATGTTTTATTCGTCACAAATGAGAGTCTGTGTTTTTCCAATAAATATCGCCGTATTAACTCTTCTGGTTAAAACATTTAACGTTAAATTGTGTTGTCTAGAAATGTATATAAGAAAACATGGCATCTTAGTGTTATTTTGACAAACTGTCATTATGTGCTCTAAAATGACATTTTTTAAAATTATAAATTATAATAGAAATTTCATTATTTCGCAGAACAATTTCTTTAAGTCAAACACAAGTGTGCCGCAAGCCTGCGTTTGAGTGAAGGTCTCGGCCGTTAGATCGCCCCCTGGGGGCTGGCTGCAGTACAAGTCATAAAGCCCGCCTCCTCCGTGTTAATGAAGGAGACTTGAGCCCAAATAAAAAAATTAATTACACTTGCAATAAAATGTCCCGAAAGATGGTTCTGGTCGATTAAGGCACTGATTATTGTGCTGAAATAGGTGCAGATCCTCATTTTTGTAAACAGTTTGTTTTTAGCAGTAATTTAATGCTGGGCGTGTCATCGTGATTGACAGCTGTGATTGACAGTTTCTCAAAGCGCGGCGTCTGAGCTTCGGCAGAAGACTGAAGTGTTATTACTCGATTTCTGTGATATTTTACTATGACAAATGAGTTCAGCAGTAAACTACAGTTTCTGACATACATGATCTGGTGGAACACTGTTTATTCGCTAAGGTCAGAGCTTTTTTCGGGCTTTATTAGTTTGCTAATACACGCCTAGCCACCCAGATAGCAAAATACACTGGGGCCAGTTCTTGCCTGCCGGAGACTTACCCCTCAGACTGACTACCTCTGCTGGACCTACTCCGGATGCCTGGACTCACTGCCCGATTCAAGCCTGAGTCAATTGAGCCAGATGCGGCGGCCGAGCGAGCAGGCGCTGCCGCATGCGAGCCGGAATCAGCCCGCGACGCCGCGACTAGGTTATGCGCTGATGCCCGGAGCTGGCGCGATTGAATCTTCATTATATAAAACCCTCACATTTGATAACGTTATTACACCCATTTTTGTTGATATAACAACAAACGCATGCTACTATGTGAACGCAAAGTGTATCACTGAGTTTAACCTTTGAATAAAGATGCAAACAGCATAGCAATTATTTAAATAAAGGACAAAATAAATAACAATAAACCTGTATCGATTGCACAAGTATTAAATAATAATAATAAATACGAAAATGACAATAAAACTGCACAATAAAATAAACCCATTTAAGTACGGGGTATACAGGAGATCGTTAGCAGTAATTCTCTTTGTGTTTAAATAATAATCTCCACTTTGATCTCCTGTAAGGTTATTTGAACTTGCTTTAGGACGTCTCTGCATTTTAAGTTTTGGCATGTTATTAAGTGATCTACTTAATTTCCTGTTATAAATCATTATAAGGTTCTTGAAATCGAATCTTATATAACCTAATAGAGCTGTAAATGTTAGATATTATTTATTTACATCATTTACTGTTGGCGTTTTATTTGAACACTCCAGCTAACATTAAAATGAATGTAAATTCCTCGTTGCTAGATATAATGAAGGCATCGAATAAACCAAATGAAAACGGAGGCAAAAAAATTAAATAAACAATTCAAGCGAAAATGAATAAACAATATACTAGTGATGTTGCAGCAGATAGACGTTGTATTAATAGTGCAAAGTTTTTTTGCACAAATTGACAAATTGCAGGGTTGGGATGTGTAAATATCCTGTTGATATTTAGTAATCTTGCTGTATTTATCTTCTAAACGCACGATTGTTCCCGCATGGTAAATCGTTATGGTGTGTAGGCTATATTTTGGGTTCTGTTGATGGCTAATTAAAAATAAAAACCTTTCTAAAAATGTATGTGTTGTTTATATGTTATTGTTCATATTTTACAAGTGTTATTTCTACCCCTATGAAGATAACAAATACCAACAACAAATATAACAATAAGAGAATATATTATTTGTGCTCATATTCAGGCTAGAGTGTATAAAAGATCGTTTATTTCTGCAGTCCACCATGTATTGCTTTTATTAAAGTTTAACAGCTTACATCACACCGTTTTTAAACCGTATATTATTGTGTTTTTTTAATGTAAGTGCTTCTATTTACATCAGTGAGCGTTTGTTATAGTGCAGACACCGGCAGTCGAGTGAGAAGTTCGGGGGGCGTGGTTGATTTTACATAAAGCGTTTGGTTGGAAGCTCGACTCCGCTCATTATCGCGGCTCCTCCTCTGGCTCCATCAGACAGTCCTTCTGCGCATGTCTGGCTCCAATTTCAGCAGTCTTTTGCGACAGTTTGTGCCCGTCAAGCAGGCGTTTTGCCCTCAAGGCGTTCAATGGCAAAAGGGGCTGTCGCGTCGTCCATATTTTTTACAGTCATTGGTCAAACATAACATACTAAAAAGTGATTACTTTGGGTACTTTGGGTACTGTGGGTCGCTTTACACATAGACAAAAAGAGAAGATGTCAAATATCTAGACAATAAATATAATAATTACTTCACAACAAACCTTTTTGGATTCCAGAATTATAACAATCAATAAATAAAAAATAAACAATCAAAACGTCAACAAATGTCATGAAGTGAACAGTTACCTAACGTACTCATCACAACAAATAACGTTACCCAACACAATAATTGAGCTCAGCAGCGGCGTAAACACAATAAACACACAACATAAGAGTTCAAACAATTAAATTCAGTTAAAGATTATTGCATAAACAAATTACGTGTAACTCCTTCAACCAAATACAAGTTTACTCGCTAAAATGGACTCGTCCCGCAGTGACCTCCATATTCACACTCATGACATTTAAGAGATTGCTGCATTGCAGAATGTTTACTTTATTATCCTCCTTGACATATCACACTAATTATTGTCAAGCTATAGGAACAATATGTCGAAATATTAAAAGAGAAATATGAGAAAGAGCTCAACCGCTGCTTACCTTCGTGATCTCCCTGGATCAGCGTTATAAAAATGACAGCGGAAGAAATATAGTGACCGACCCGGATGTAATAACAGCGGCGGCCTGTTTGAGCGTGGAGGCGCTGTCTCTCAGGATAAAAAAATAAATAAAAATTTATTCACATACATACACACACATCATTTTTTTGTATGGTTTGTTACAAATCATCAACTGAATTATACATGTCTGTTAGAATAAAGCCAAGTAAATCAGCCATGTAATAAACATGAAAATACTTTTAGACTTTCTCAGTTTTTGTGAATTACACTTGTCTAGTACAAATATGTGGTTTTGTTTAATAATTGCAGTGCATTTCTTTAATTATTCACTCAAAAAATCTTAATTCGAGCATAAGACTATTTAGAAAAAAGACATTTATGTCATAAAACAGTATAGCAGTTTGGAGATTAAAAGAATAGCTGATTTTCATGTTAAATAAAGATAGAAAATATTACCTCAGATGAAATGTGGGCTATTGTTTCTATGGTTAAACATGCTAGCCTATTTGGAAATGTCCAAACACAGCAGGCACACAACATCCTAAGACAGGTTAGATTTAAGTCGTGACGCCACAATGCTGAAAAAAAGCTTAAACCAGCCTAGGCTGGTTGGCTGATTTTAGCTGGTCGACCATCCTGGTTTTAGAAAGGTTTTGGCCATTTCAAACTAGTTTTCAGCCATTTCCAGGCAGGGAAATGACCAGCTAAATTCAGCTTGACTAGCCTGGTTTGAGCTGGACATAGCTGGTTTTGCCTGGGCTCCCAGCCTGGCTAGGCTAGTCAAGCTGGTTTTAGCTGGTCATCTCCCAGCCTGACCAGATGAGACCAGGCTGGAAATGGCTGGAAACCAGCCTGGAAATGGCCAAAACCCCTCTAAAACCAGTCTGGTTGACTAGCTAAAACTATGGTCAGTCAGCGTCTAAGGACAACGCTATGATGATGTCAAATAATGTTGATATTGGGTTGATCTTAAAGGTTGCTGGACATAAAGCTCCCCTTAATTATATATATATATATATATATATATATATATATATATATATATATATATATATATATATATATATATATATATATATATATATATAAAATAAAAAATATTAATTAATTAATAACAGTATTATTGTTATTATACAATTATTATTCTAAATAAATGACAGAAATTAATCCTAAATGTGACTAGAAAACTATTTAAAAATCTAAAGACACAACTTAGACCCGACTCATGGGCGAGAATTAGGTTTAAGTCTAAACACCCTGACTCATCATTCCACTTTTTTGCTTCATACGAAAAAAGTATCATGATCCATGCTTTGTCTAAATAAGATCACCATCATATTATTTAAACTTGTTTTGTCGACTTGCAAAACTCACTGTGTGCCGACACCTTTGCATAAAAGACTGTTATGACGGTTTCACAACGCATAAGCAGCAAGGTTATTTTTTTGACGTGCATGTTCACAACCGGGAGCAGAGCAGAGCGTCAAGCAGGAGTGGTGCGTGAGGCGCATGGGTAGGTTTTTTTCCGTTTGCTTTTTGATTAAACTATTGCTTTCATTAGTGTTAGTTCGGTTGCACATAGAGAATAATGTCTTTATTCTGGGATTACCACTCTTAATAAATACTTTTGCATATAAAGTAAATAGTATCGCAAAGCATTTACTGGGGCACTGGCAGTTTTAACTGGGGCCCTTGCCCCAGTAAATGCGGTCTAGCGACGCCCCTGGGTTGAACGTTGAACAGCCTGATGTTGGCTTCTGATGTCAACCCAATTTTTATTTAAAAACAAAATGCAATGTCCCCATGACGTTGGGATACAACTTCAATTTGACGTCATGTTGATGTCCTGTGCTTGCTGGGAACCATTAATACCTGATACTATGTTTTTCTAATAATATTATTCCTTTGGAGCCCGTCTAGTGAAGTCATATATAATTCACCATTTTATTTCATATTATATGAAAACTATTTTGCATAAATGTAATAACAATTCCTTGAAAGTAATCATCACATATTGTGCAGGTGAACAGATGTACTTTGATAATTTAGTGATGTGAAAACATTCAATTAAATGGACATTTACTGTAGGCTTATATTCAGAATTAAACTTGTTCATCAACAGCAGTTATAAATCAGCTCCAGGTTTCACACTTTAGCTGGGGCAAAATAATACACATCTTTATTTCCATCCACAGAGCAGACATTTTACTAACAAAATCTCATTTTAAAATGTCCTTGTCCCAAAACGCACATCTGAATTCAACCTCTTCTTAAAGAGGTTTTAACCGATTATGACAGATAAGTAGGACTCAGGCCAAACGGAAATGAGTTTAATCAGTGATTATGTGACTCATATTGTTTAATACTTTAATTTGACGTTAAGATGACATTGGGCAGGATGTCTCCGCTCAGCCTCGTCTTTCTGTTAACAGACGTCTTTTGTTACAATGCACAATCCTTAAGTGCTCGAGATTGATCCAGAATCGAGAGTAATCTCAATTATCATTGTATAATAGTAATAAACTAGAACTCTTTTTGATTGTTTACCTCTATAATTAATAAATGATACATCAAATGTCCTTCCACCAGCAGCATCACAATAATCAATGTGTCAATAAATGCAGTTAGTGTTACAGACTGCTGTTTTTTCAATGTAAGCCATTTCAAAAAAAAAGATTTGAGTTGAGTAAACGTATGCAAAACTATGCAAATTGTGCAGGGAGTAAATCTGAGGCTGTAGGAGCTGAGTAGTAACTACTGTATATGCTCCCTATGGCAAGGTAAATTAGCTTAAAAAGCGCAGTGTCACTCATCATAATTAATTTAAGAGAGCAGAGCTCTTAAATTCAATTGTTACTAGTAATAATTTCAATTAGGGAGCTCTTCAATTCAATAAGAGCTCTGAAACTGACCATATCTTTAATTTAAATTTTTACAAGTAAAAGATATTATTAGAGAGCTCTGTGATTGTACTTTGGACTGACAGACTGAATTAAAGAGCCCTGTAATTGTAATTGTATTAGTAAAAAATGACTAAATGAGTAGAAACTCAATTGTAGAGCTCTGTGATCATAAATAAATGCAAGTCAATGGAGACATGTTACTAGTAAAAATTTAAGTATTCACAGGAGTAAATTACCAAAAAAGTAAATGCAAACTTGGGAATGGAAGCGAATTTAAGGCGTACGACACAAATGGTGCAGAATATGTGACGTGTTCGCGCCAAATATGCAGCAATCGCCTAATAAACATTCTGTGAGTAAACCAGAGCAAGTGAAACAATCGTGTGTTTGTTTCGCGTTTGGCGAAAACCCAGCATAAGTCTAATCTTGCTTGTTTTATACCTGACAAAAGTCTTGTCGTCTTGTCCCAGTTGTAAGAGCAACAAATAATAACTTGACCTCTAGTTGATCATTTAGAAAAGTGGCAGAAGGTAGATTTTTCAGATGAATCATCAGAACTGCATCCCAATCATCACAGATACTGTAGAAGACCTACTGGAATCCACATGGACCCAACATACTCATAGAAATCAGTCAAGTTTGCTGAAGGAAAAATCATGGTTTGGGGTTACATTCAGTATGTGATCGTGTGAAAGATCTGCAGAGTGGATGGCAACATCAACAGCCTGAGGTATCAGGACATTTGTGCTGCCCATTACATTACAAACCACAGGAGAGGGCAAATTCTTCAGCAGGAGAGCGCTCCTCATACTTCAGCCTTCACTTCAAAGTTCCTGAAAGCAAAATAGGTCAAGGTGCTCCAGGAATGGCCAGCCCAGTAACCACATATGAACATTATTGAGCATGTCTGGAGTAAGATGAAGGAGGAGGCATTGAAGATGAATTCAAATAATCTTGATGAACTCTGGGAGTCCTGCAAGAACGCTAGAGGTTTTTCCCTTTCATATAATACACTTCTGATACCAAACGATCAACTAGAAGTCAAGTTATTATTTGTTGTTCCTAAAACTTGGATAGGCGACAAAACTTTTGTCAGATAGTGAAATCCTATGCATTATATAATCATAAATCACTATTTGAATTAAATAAACACACCATACTGCAACTGTACATTGTCATTAAAGTCAATTATGTGGAGACAATAACACTTATCCTGCATGTTTTCCCTACATCATTGGTCTTGGGTGAGTCTCCGCTCAGTCAAAGTTCACAGAGAGTGAAAGAATACATTAGTCCCCGTCATCCTCCATGTTCTTGTAGGAATGCTCATAGCCGTTTGACTCGCGACCCAATCTGTTGACTGCTACGTTTTCAAAGGCCCTCCTCATTAATGGATTCTCCTCCAAGACTTCATTGAAGCTGTCCACGCTGAGAGAGTAAAGTCTGCAGTAAGTGTCGGCCCTGACGCTGGCCGTGCGGCGTCCACGGGTCAGCAGACATATCTCTGGAATACAAGTGGAACATGATAAATATATGTATTTATAATCAAAGCTGTCCACAATTTGATTTAATATTACGTTTAAGGCTGCCTTCAAGTGCTATCAGATATTTTACATTAACAAGAGTCAGAAATCTTATATATTTTCTAAAACCAATATGGTTTTAGAATGACAGGAAGCTGAGTAAATTATGACAGATTTTCACTTCGGAGTTAACTAAACCTAAATTTCCTATCTAAAAAAATAAACAAACTCACCCCCAAAGTAGCAGCCGTCATTCAGTTTCTTCTCTTTATTGTCTGAAGTGATCACACTGACACAGCCATGCTGGATGAAGTACATCTTACGACCCAGCGTCCCTTCGCGAATGATGACATCACCCGGCTGAAAGACCTCGAAACGTAACTTTGAGAGGAGCACTGTGACGAAATGAGGATCAGCGTTTGCAAAGAGGGGCATGTTAGCCACCAGCCCACGGCAGTTATAGTTCACGATCTCCTGCATGCCAAGCACACAATAAAAGATGAGGAATTAGGAATACTGCTACTAGCCCTCGCAAAAACTGTAGCATTTTGCTTGGTTTAGTTCACAAACCAGGACTCTTGTGAGATTGAAGCATCCTCGTTTATAGTTGTGTACTGACACTATGCAGCTGTGATGTACACCATCCAGCGGTTATGAATTACATTGTGATTTTATTGTCTGTTCTTTATTACAAACATGCTCTGTTTTTAAAACTTTTAAATTTGTAAAACTCATTCTTGAGGTGCAGCTGATCACAGACAGTTGGAACAGATCTTTTTATCCCAGTTTCTTTGCAAATCCTGTTCTGTGGACATGTTTATACATGTTATTACAGATGATAATACACGCCTGTCAATTAATTTGTTGTTGGGAAAAAATGCACTGATACATCACGTTGTGGTGGGCCTCAAAATCAGGGAATTGAGGAAATCAGGAACAAACAGCTTCCAAAAGTTGATTTTGCATCGTAGGAGTCCTTTAATGTTTTCAGAAGCTAGTAAATTTTGGGTAGGTGATTACAGTTGGTTCCAATCTTGATTACACTGTATTAAAACCGCATTATAAGAAATATGGATACACAACACTGGCATATGCAATGTTCAATGTAGTTGTTGAGTATTGTGATAAGGATATTACTTTCGATATAACATTTCCCTAAAAAATGATATTTATATTAGCTATGTATTATTTATTTCAAAATATCACACTTAGCTGATGATTGATTATAAGCAAGTTTGGCATGCTGTCTCGGGAGAGAGCCCTGAGCTCAAAAGGTCCTTGAGCCCTGGGCTCCCTCTCGTTTGCAGGGCGAGAAGGAAGCTCAGGAAGCTTGAGTTCAGGTAGATCTCGACAACTCCCCCCTCGATAAGAGCTGATGACTAAATTGAATGCTATGAAGAGATATGCTGCAGGATGAGAGATTGACTGTAGTGCTAAATTTAGATTGATCAATTCACTTGTTGTGCATGTTTTTGGAATGTGGGAGGAAACCGGAGGACCCGGGGAAAACCGACTCGAGCACGTAAAGAACATGCAAACTACGCACAGAAATGATAGCCGGCCTGTTAAAGGACTAGAACTGGTGCCGTTCTTGCTGTGAGGCAACAGTGCTAACCACTGGGCCACCGTGCCGCCCTATGGAGAGAAAGGTGAAGAGGTAGGGGTGGAAGGGGGGATTCTTCAAAACGAAGATGACTGTATAGTGAAAAACCCTGTCTCTTTATAGTGGAATAGGAATGGCCTGATTGATGGATTATACATGCTAATGCAGAACCAGCCGTGTTCAATCATAATCACGTGACCCTCTCAAAATTATTTTATGAATAAACTTCAGTTATATGTAATATTATTTATATATTAAGTTCTATATTATTTATTAAAGCTACATATAGTTAGTTTTTAGCTTTAACAGTGTTTTTCAGATCTAATTAATTCAGGCTAAGAAACTGTCAACGTGCAAACATTTAGTCTTTAAAACAATATGAATGAGTGTGAACCGCAGCAGATATTCAGATATTCATTGGTTGTTTTCTTTACAAGCATTTATTTTCAGCTCTGGGTTCACTCCAACTAATAGCATAGCAGCAACTATTGGGTCGGGGAGGTCAAAGACAATAAGATCCCATCTGAACGGTCTAATTTAGATAAACAACCAATACATAAAATAAATGTAATTCATCACAGGTCTGCATTAAATATATTTCATAAACTATAATCGCAATAATGATAATTGTGCGGCCCTAATAAGAACATTTAAATAAAAAGTAATCCTCCTATTACTAAATTGAAAAGAAAAAGTCTAAAAGTAACCTCTTTTAGTGGGTCGCTGAGCTCTTCCAGGATATTCTCCTCATCGAACATCTTGCCCTGAAAGCGGTGCTCATAATAATCATGGATCCGCTGCCTCATGTCAGCTGGCAGCTTGTGGAAGGACATGTACTGCTCCACCTGCTTGTACTGTAACAAACCAAACAACCAAACTGTTGTCAAAAGAAGAAAACGATGTCTCAAAAAGGCTTAACTTATTAGCTTGTACCTTTTCTTGGTACTGACGATGGGAAGCATCTAAAGACTGGACCAGGTTGGTGGCATTGCCCAAGAACATGGCATAGCAAGTGGCGCCAATTATCATGCTGATCATTGTGAGCCAGACATCAGTGGGTCCCTCGGGAGCCTGAGCACCATATCCAATACACAACATGTGGCTCATGGCCATAAACAAGGCGTAGGAGTATTGCACGTCCCAAGTGGAATTCTGATATACAAAGAAAAATAGTAAATTTTTATCAAGGTCGTTATTAATATCCAAATGTAGTTTACAAAAATAAATTTAGCAGTTCATTACTAAAACTAATTCAATAGATATCAACATACAGGCTGCGTCCGAAACCGCCTACTCCCATACTATATAGTACGCTAAAATCAGTATGCGAGCCGAGTAGTATGTCGAATTCGTAGAATTCGAAGATCAGTATGCGAGAAGTATCCGGATGACTTACTACTTCCGGCGAGATTCTGGAGTGCGCATCCCATGCACGCTGCGCTATCCCATAATGCCCTGCGAGAGAATTCATGAATGGAAGTGAAGCGACGCAACTGATGCAGGTAGATCACGTGACCATGACAAAATGGCGGATGTAGTACGTCCGAATTCCATTCATACTGCTCACATTTATGCTCTATAGAACGTACTTTTCTAACGGCTGAGCAGTACGGTTAAATTCAAATGCAGTACCTACTGAGCAGTAGGCGGTTTCGGACGCAGCCACAGTACAGCCTAATAAACCATTGAATAATTTAAAAAATACAAGTTATGACGAAACCCTACACAAACCCAATTGCCGACCTCAATAACAAAGTACCAAAGCTAGCAGAAAATGTTATTATTTTTATTTGGTAATTCAATTCCTGCAGGTACACAGGTATTCCTGTATCTTCCTATCCATTTAGGACTTACTTTAGAAAAGGGATGAGCATTTTCTAAAGCAGGGGTGCCCAAACTCGATCCCGGAGGGCCGGCGTCCTGCAGATTTTAGGTCCAACTTGCCTCAACACACCTGCACGAATGTTTCTAGCAGTCATAGTAAGAGGTTTATTAGCTAGCGCAGGTGTGTCTGACTGAGGTTGGAACTAAACTTTGGAGAACACCGGCCCTCCAGGACAGAGTTTGGGCACCCCTGTTCTAGAGTGTCTATGAGACAAACATACCACCATGTTGTTTTTGGAGACCCAGCAGGTCGAAGGGAAGTCTTGCAGCATTGGCACCATGAACTGCATGCAGCCATCCCAGTGACACAGCAGCAGCATCATCCCAATCAGATTCACTATGCGAACCACTGCGCTTGCTAGGTCATAGGTCATGTGGAAGATCTGTTAAAAAACAATAATAAAAATAACAAATAAATGAGTAATTCATGGACTGCCTAAATAGATGTGAAGTTGTGGTCATGCTTTTTGTTTTTTGATTTCATTTTGGTCACACTCAGCTATAGTATAGTAAACCTGGCATTCCCCAGGGCTCGGTTTTGGGTCCTCTTCAGTTTATTGTTATTTACTGCCTCTTTATTACACATATAGGAAACATGGTGTTTATTAGCAATGTTTCCACCTAAATTTGTATATTTAACAACCCAGGCTCATTCTAAAAACGTAGTCCAGCGGACATTTCTGGAGACCGCGAAATACGTCCTGGGAGGTACGTATTTGTGCAGTTTTTCTTTTCGCGAATCCGCGAGAGGCCACTGTGCGCACTTTTTCGTATCTCGAACGTCTCTCACGAGTGCCGTTCGCGCCCGCGCTGTTCTCGCGTCAACCCACCAGAGGCCGCCGTCTGACTGACCGAATGATTGACCGCGCGACCAACCAATCGGCTGACCCACCCTCCTCCTTCCCTGAAAACAACCAGTTTTACCGATTGACCCGCCCGCCCGCTCACTTCCCTAAACCCGAGCAACAATTTAGAAAAGTCGTCTAGAAAAAGAAAAACCCTCATCTGTTTTTTTTTTTTTTAACCACGTTTTCGGATTTCACCGCGTTCTCACCCTGTTATGAACTTTCTCTTTATTTTTTGGATTCTGTTTTTGTCTTACCTGGTTTCTGGAACCGCTCTTCCTCGGACGCCTTTGTCAACTCCTCCTCTCTGCATCTGAAGTCCGCCGATGCACACAATGAGCTGACCGGACAAACTGACTGCAGCGGGAAAGCCCTCCACCTGGAGGTAAGTGGTCAGCCGGCAAGTGCGAAAAGGAACGGCGTCACACCGCCCCATAGCGTTCGTTTAAAAAATTAAATGCAGCCATATGTACCTCCCGGGACTTATTTCGCGGTCTCCAGAAACGTCCGCTGGACTACTTTTTCAGAATAAGCCTGGGTTGACATTTAAACTATCCACTAAAATAAAATATTGCATTTTCGAATAAAGTACTGTTTACCACATATTTCAATCAAAATTCAGATTTTATGCATAATGCAATGTGATGTGTATTTATATAGCACAATTCTCGTATATGGCTATTCACCCAAAGTGATTCATAATCGTGAAGGGTGGGGGGGGTCTCTCCAGACCACCGCCAGTGTTCAGTATCCACTTGGATGATGCGACAGCAGCCACAGAAAAACAGTGTCAGTGCGCTCACTACATACCAGCTATTGGTGGAGTGGAGAGATTTGGTTGATGGGGATGATTGGAAGGTCATGATGGGTAAGAGCTGATGGAGGGAATTTAGCTAGGACACTGGGGTTACACCCTACTTTTTTACGAGAAGTGTCATTGAACCATGCGGGATGTCACAATGAGATGTTGTTGGGAAGATGGCGGAAATACTTAACACAGAATATTTTCATCAAATGGTTTCATGAATTTTCTCCAAATTTATTCACAACCTATTTATTTGATATAGTTTTATATTCATTTATTAAGCAACTCCACCATGCGACTCACTGACTTCTTCAACCGTTATGTCATGACAGTTAGCCTACTACTGCAAATAACAGTACAATGGCAAGCACATCAAGTATGAAACCCTCCACAACTCGCGGCTGTACGTTAAAAACTGTGATGGTTGAGTTTAAGATTTGGGAGGGTGTAGACATTAATAACTGTGATGGTTGGGTTAAGGGTTGGGGAAGGTGTATACGTTAATAACTGTGAGGGTTGGGTTAAGGTTTGGGTAGGTGTAGACATTAATAACTGTGATGCTTGAGATTAGGATTGGGGAAGCTGTAGACGTAAATAACTGTGATGGTTGGGTTCAGGGTTGGGGAAGGTGTATACGTTAATAACTGTGATGGTTGGGTTCAGGGTTGGGGAAGGTGTATACGTTAATAACTGTGATGGTTGAGTTTAAGATTTGGGAAGGTGTAGACATTAATAACTGTGATGGTTGGGTTAAGGGTTGGGGAAGGTGTAGACATTAATAACTGTGATGCTTGAGTTTAGGATTGGGGAAGCTGTAGACGTAAATAACTGTGATGGTTGGGTTCAGGGTTGGGGAAGGTGTATACGTTAATAACTGTGATGGTTGAGTTTAAGATTTGGGAAGGTGTAGACATTAATAACTGTGATGGTTGGGTTAAGGGTTGGGGAACCTGTATACGTTAATAACTGTGATGGTTGGGTTAAGGTTTGGGTAGGTGTAGACATTAATAACTGTGATGGTTGGGTTAAGGTCTGGGTAGGTGTAGACATTAATAACTGTGATGGTTGGGTTAAGGTTTGGGTAGGTGTAGACATTAATAACTGTGATGGTTGGGTTAAGGTTTGGGTAGGTGTAGACATTAATAACTGTGATGGTTGGGTTAAGGTTTGGGTAGGTGTAGACATTAATAACTGTGATGGTTGGGTTAAGGTTTGGGTAGGTGTAGACATTAATAACTGTGATGGTTGGGTTAAGGTTTGGGTAGGTGTAGACATTAATAACTGTGATGCTTGAGTTTAGGATTGGGGAAGCTGTAGACGTAAATAACTGTGATGGTTGGGTTTAGGGTTGGGGAAGGTGTAAACATTATTAACTGTATTGGTTGTGTTAAAGATTGGGGAAGGTGTTGACGTTAAAAACAATGATGGTTGGGTTTAGGGTTGTGGTAGTATAGACTTTAATACCTGTGATGGTTGGGTTTAGGTGCGGAGTAAGTGTAGACGTTAATAACTGATGTAACTATGTTGCCGACAACATAGTTTGACATCTGGGTCTCCATAATGTCAAGTTATGCCGCTAACTATACCGTCTTGCAGTCCACAGACAGACCCTACTTACTAGACTTGCATTTTGACAAATATTATTTGACTAACATGTCTGAATGTGACTAATAGCTAAAATTAATAGCCAATAAAGTCTTCATTATGTTAACCAAAATTTGGAAATTTAAACGATTGCATTTGCGAATAAATTACTGTTTACTACATATTTCAAAAAAATATTTGATTAATATTTAAAAATAGCCAACAAAGTCTTCGTTATGCTATGCAAAAAGAAAAGTAACTTCTCAGGAGGACCAAGTTAATACATCAATCTTGATCTTAAAAAAACATAAACTAAAAAGTGTAAGCTAACCATTTTGGCAATCCTAATCTTGATTTCCCTAATCCATTGCTCACCTCCTCCCACTGATGAATGTACCGTATAAGTCTGGACAAGCGCAGCAGTCTGAGCAAGCTGAGGATCTTGGTGAAGCGGACGATGCGTAAAGCCCTGGCGGTGCGATACACCTCCGCTGACTCCAGCCGGGACTCTATGTCCACTATCAGGAAGATGTAGTCCACTGGTATGGAGGAGATGAAGTCCACCAGGAACCATCCTCGCAGGTAACGCCGGCTGATGATTTGCGGGTCTAGGATGATTTCAGAGTTGTCACCTTCCATAATGCCAGTGCGAAAGTTGAAGACGAGGTCGGCCAGGAAAAGTGTGTCAGAGGCCACATTAAAGGTGATCCACGGCAGGGTGTTCTGGTCCTCAAAGAAGGTGATGCCCCAGGGAAGGATGACCAGGTTTCCCATCATCAGGCAAAGCATCACCAAGTCCCAGTAAAACCTGTTTGTGGAGATGCATGATGTAAGGAACAAAGAATGGATTTGTGTAGGGCTGCATGATATTGGAAAGATTGAACACTGCAATGCTTTATTTTGCCACAATTATTTCACCAGATGACCTGAATAGCTCTATCTGGAAAGATTTCATTGATTTAGATTGACCGGGATGGTCTGAAGTCTTTTTATATGCAGTGCATCTGCATAAATGATAATAAATTACAAGCATAAATAAATAAACATTGTTTTATGGTATGATAACAGTTTTCAAGTACAGAACTTGAATATTCATTTATTTATTTTCTTTTGGCCTTAGTACCTTTGTTAATCTGGGTTCACCACAGCAGAATGAACTGCCAACTTATCCAGCATTTGTTATACGCAGCGGAGAACCTTCCAGCTAAAACCCATCATTAGGAAACACCCTTACACTCTCATTCACACACATACACTTTGGACAATTAAGTTTACTCAATTCAACTATAGCGCATGTCTTTGGACTTGTGGGGGAAACCAGAGCAGAAATTGAACAATCAAATGTAAAATAACCTGGTCATTGTTGTATAAAAAATAAAAATAAGCATATTTAATAACATCTTTATGTTTTAATCTTTAGTAAATAATCTAATCCTGTGATGCGACTATCGCAGACACACACATTGAGATATCGATGCTCAAATGATATATTGTTCAGCACAGATTCTGCGGTATACTGTATTATAAAATTCTGTAAGAATCTGTAATTCAAAAAATCTAATTACATTTTCATGCAGTTTTATGTAAATTTTATGCAGATTATGATGATAAATGATAGTAACTGTTATTAGATATAGAAAATGTGTTTTTACATCATGGTCAATAATGTAGTTAAGTTTTAATTTCTAAATTTAAGTTTAAAAGTGTTTCTTTGACTTTCCAAAAGAGTGAAAAATATTGACAGATAGAATTTGTTTGTTAGAACACAGAGTTGTGGCTGATCATCTACTGTGTTGGAAACATTCATGTGGCATCAATAAAAAGCTATCTGCGATTTCTAATTTCCACAGTAAAAATGCTTTTCTTACTAAGAGGTTTTGTTTTGTTTCTTGTTTAACTTCCTACAGATTCTTAAATCAAGAAGCATTTTCTAGACTAATAAAAGAATATTGTCTTGTTTTTAAAATAATAAGTCAAAATTCAGTTGTTTTTCATTAAAACAAGCAAAATAATCTGCTAAAGGGGCAGGTAAAATAATCTTACTTTTGTTTTGAAGAAAACAAAAGGTAAAGAAAACATTTTTTGCAGTGCAATGCCAGCATAATAAAACTGCAGTGTTATAAATTAAATAAAATATAAATAAATAAGGTATGACACGGTGACACAGTAGGTAGAGCTGTTGCCTCACAGCAAGAAGGTCGCTGGTTCGAGCCCCTGCTGGGTCAATTGGGATTTCTGTCTGGAGTTTGCATGTTTTCCCCATGTTCGCGTGGGTTTCTTCTGGGTGCTCTGGTTTCCCCCACAGTCCAAAGACATGCGGAACAGGTGAATTGGGTAGGCTAAAATGTTCGTAGTGTATGAGTGTGGATGAGTGTGTATGGATGTTTCCCAGAGATGGGTTGCAGCTGGAATAGCATCTGCTGCGTAAAACATATGCTGGATAAGTTGGTGGTTCATTCTGTTGTGGTGACCCCAGATTAATTAAGGGACTAAACTGAAAAGAAAATGAATGAATGAGTGAATAAATACATAAATAGAAAAATAATAAAATAATACAATAAATTAAAAAAAAATTGAAAATAATAATAAAAAATAAATAAAAAATAAAAATAAAACACTTTGGTCCATTTACAATGTTATTAACTGTTAAAACAAGTCATCAGTATATAAAAACAGTCCATTGTTTTGTTTTGTTTTGAATCTAAAGCTAAAATTAATAATTAAAAGTACAGAAACTGCTTACTGATATAGGGAATAACTCATTTTTGAGCACCAATTTCATGTTCTAACAGCAATGCTACTAAAGTAAACAGAAAATAAAACAAAAACGCCATGAATGACAAGTAGGTATGAACATTAGTTTTGTACAGTATGAAACATTTTGTTGCATGTGGCATTTAACAATATTTACATAATACAATACCAACCAATATTAATACACAATCAAAACATAAGCAAGATTTTAGCAGTCAGACAAATAATAATTGATCTTTTGAATGAATTTCACCACTTTTAGTAGCCGATGCTGCATCTACACTAAACATATATCCCATAGAAAAACTGAACTAAAATAAAGGGTGTAGAAAAATCCTAGTGGCCTTACAGACCTAAATGTGGGTGTGTAGCTTAAAGGTTGCAGGTGCTATAGGGTGACCATCTCTGTAACTTAATACGGTGCCATTTCATGCAAATATATTCAACAAGACATTTTCACATAAAAAGAAGACAACAATATACAACAAAGCTTATTTACTACTAAAGAAATCATTATGGACAAAAGAAGCCTGATTCAGAAGTTCAATCACATAGTTGAGTTTTCACTGAAGTCATTGTTAATTACTAGGAGTCGTTGTTAATTACTGAAGTGGTAATGGAGAGTGGTGACGGAAATGTACAGTATGTGAGTGTTTAAACTGGATATGCAGCCTTTTGCACACAGGCAGCTTAGCATGCGGCAGGTACGTGTGGTTGAGGATGGGTTGGAGTTTCCACCTGTGCTCATATTTTCCAAAGCAGTGTCAGTCACATGGCATGAATAGGTATCTGAATACAGTCCAATATGTCTCATATCTAATGGAGGCCATTTAAGAACACAACGGTATATAATATCAATGATGACAACTGAGCATAATGTGGATTTGCAATCAATAACAAGGCCATTAATGATATGACATTTCCAGAGTTCTGCAGCCAAAATCTGCTGACAGCTTTGAAAACGTTTTAAATGAATTTTAAATTATTAATCTGATTTTAGGGAAATTATTTACATAACAACAGCATTTAGTCAAGCATGACAATGCAAGGTTTTGAAAACAAGATTAAAAGTGCAAGTTATAAAAATGATATGGGTATCATCTCAGAATATGATGGCGGTTCATCACTTTGGTGACCCCAGATTAATAAAGTGACTAAGCCAAAAAGAAAATTAATTAATAAATAAAAAGGTTATATCATATATGCTAAATTTTCTCTATAGTACAACACGGTTTGACAAACATATCCCAAGTTATGTTATTGACAACTAAATTTGGGATTTATTCAAATTGCTATTTTTTAGCTATCAACATTACTACATTTATATACAAATAACTATGTCCAGAAGTGCCATCAAGTTCTCTGGGCTCGGAGGCATCTGGGATGGACCACCACACAGTGCAAACGTGTACTGTAGTCAGTGAATCAGTATTTCAGGTATTTTTGAGGAGAAATGGACGCCCTGTGCTCCCGACTAAAGAAGAAAAGGATCATCCAGACTGTTGTTAAACAGCAACAAGCCAGGGAATGTCATGGTATGGGGTTGTATTAGTGCCCTTGCCAAAGGTAACTTGCACTTCTGTGATGGCAGCATTAGTGCTGAAAATATATAAATATTTTGGAGCATAATAATCTGCCTTCTTTTCCAGAGATGCCCATGCATATTTCAACAAGACAATGCAAATCCATTTTTACACACATTACAAAGTCCTGCCTGCAGAGGAAGAGGATACAGGCATTTGACTGGCCTGCCTGCAGTCCCGACCTGTCTCCTATAGAGAATGTGTGGTGCATTTTGAAGCGCAAAATGCAAAAACAAAGACCACATACTACTGGCCACCTTAAGACTTGTTTGCAGGAGGAATAGGACAAAATTACACCTAAAACACTTCATCAACATGTCTTCAGTCCCTAAACGTCTTTTGAAAAGAAATGGCAACATTACATCTACGGTTGGGCGATGTTAACCAATTTGGCATCGTACAATGTCTAATGTGAAACATCGCGATGGACGATGGCATCGTTGTAGGTGGCGGGGATTAATTATATTTATGAATAATTAATTCATTCATAACAAACTAATTATTTGTAGGTCTTTGCTTTAGCTACCCATAACCAAATTATAAATAAATAAAGATAAACTACACACAAATTATCACCTGTCAATCAATTTTGCCACAGGACTCTGGCATGAACAGGCAGTGTTCTATGTCGTTATAATGGCGTCGACATACTAAAAACATGCACAACCAAAAGCAACAAACCAACAGTATCTGAGGTTTTTGCTAAAATTACCAAGTACAAGAATGAAATCGAAAGATTAAAGCAGTGTACTGATGCTGTGACACGTTACCTGATAGATTCAAAAGACTGAAGAATCGTTAGATAGAGGCAAGATTAATTAAATATCACGCTTAACAACTATAGTGAGACAGCGGCACATCCTTGATAAACTGTCCGACGTGCACTGCTCTCTGGAGTTTTGTGCTCAAAGCACTGACTGCCTGGAGCTCAGATAAGCACATGACAGTGTGTGTGTGGTCACGTGATGTGCATTTTCAGTAGCATAGTGAGGACGGAGGGCTGTTCAGAAATGCTAGATGAAATGCCAGTGTGGTCGTGGATTATTTTTGTTCTAAAATGGTATTTTAAAACTAAGATGTATGAGTGTAAATGGGGTCGTTTGTGTTTTTCATCCAACGGAGGCGGGGCGGAGGATCGCGATGCCGGCTAAGCTTCGTGATGTCTATCGGCCATCAATAATTTTTACCACGTCTTCAGATTTTACCACATTCTCACCTTGTTTTTTTTACTTGTTTATTTTATTTTTTGGATCCTGTTTTTGTTCTGCCTGCTTTCTGGAACCGTTCTTCACCGGCTCTCAAACCCCGTCGCCGTTTTCAACTCCTCTCTGCAACTCAAGTCCGCCAACGTACATGGCGAGCTAATGGGACAAACTGGTTATGGTGGGAAAGCTGTTCATATGGAGATAAGCGGTCAGCTGGTAAGCGCAAAAAAGATTGGCGTCATGCCGCCCTATAGCATTCGTTTAAA